TTCTCAACACCACTATATAACTATTATATACCCTTTTTCAGTTTTATAGCGGTAACTCGATAGGATATATAAAGGTGTTGAGAAAGTTTTCATGACTTTGGTTGCACACCTTGAGTGTTGAAGATTACAACAGGAACAGTTATAAAAGGCACCGTTTAGGGCATATAAGTGTTATATAATGGTTACCAATAACTCACGACAACCATTCTAGATGCATTTAGGTTGTATAATATGGTGTTGGGAAGTTTCCTAACACACTTATAAAACAAAAAATGTTTCTTGGGAAGGCATACGCAAACGTCTCTAGAAGAGGCTATACTGGACGAAATAGTGGCGATCGGATCGCAACACAACGATCTACAAAATGTGGGTCACCTGCGTTTTGCGGGGATACACTTTCGGGTGGGCATGATCCTCATAGATTGTGTATCTCAAGAATCGGCGAATTGGTTGGTGGAAATCGCACCTAAGCTTAAAAATTGGCAAGGGCCGGAACTGGTTGCAGTGAAGGGAGAAAACATCTCTAAAGAGGCGGCCATCATGGTCTTTCTGCCGAGGAGCAAGGGGAAAGACACCACCTATCTGCTGAGCCTTATCCAGGGTCGGAACGTCAATGTAAGAACATCGAGTTGGCGAGTCATCAACTCGAGGGAGGAGGGTCATGGTCAGGTCCTCACAATAGGAATTGACCTCAAGTCCAAGGAGGCAATAGAGAAAGAGGGATATATCCTCTATTATAGATACGGGACAACACCGGTATCAGGTCTAAGGAGAGACCAAGCTAAAGATGTGGAGAAAATGAAGACAGAACCTCCAGCCTCCACCTCACGGGTTCCTCAGCCGGAGGCAAGCTCCTCGACTGCGAAGGGCGGCACGGAGGGCCAAACTCCAACCGTAGAAGGGTGTGTACCCTCGGAGGAAGAACTGTTGTCAGAGGAGGATGGGAAATAACCTGTCCCCTCTACAACAGGGGTATGATGGATTATAGACTGTGTGATGACTCAAGGGAGGGGGCACAATAGATCTTTAAGGTCGCAGTAATTAACCCCCCCCCCCTCTTACTCATTCTACATTCTACATTTGGCATAAGGTAACAAAAAATGATAAAAAAATTTAATTTTAATTTGTGTTTGATCACATTAAATAAAGAAAGAAGTTTATAACCAATCACTATAATCGAATAAAATATATTTTCAATCTTCATCTAAAGATAAACTATCTATTAATGTTGAATAGTGAAATACTAAAATGTTGAATGGTTATTTACTAAATTTGTTAGTTAGTTCAAAACTGCTCTTGTTTTACGATTACGAGCCTTTGGTCTATAAAGATATGCGAAGATTTATGTGCCGCTATCGATAAATTCAATTATCGACTTAATGATTTTTATGATTTGGTCGTAAATTTTAGCAGGCACATTAAACTGTTATTGACTTATTTGAATAAACTCAATCGAATTATTACATCGCTGAAACGGATTTGTTGATATTTAATGTTATAATATATTAAGGAAGATATTCTGATACATAAACAGTAATAAAAAAATTGTGCGTGCACTATGTGCGCATATTTGAAGTGAAACTTCTACTTATATATAGTTTCGTCTGTCTGTCCGTCCGTCTGTCCGTCTGAGGATACCCTTCGGGTACCTCCTTCCACGTGCCGAGTTTGGTTCCAATCGACCCATACTTAGAATTACAATTTAGAATGAGTGGGAGAGGGGTTAATCACTGCGACCTTACAGATCTATTGTGTCCCCCTTTCTTAAGTTATAACTCATCATACAGTCCCAGGGCTTTGACAGTAGCCAGTATCTGGGACGGTTTTACACAGGGTAGTTCTCCATCTCCAGCATCAGTCGTACCAAAGATCATGGTATCTACGACTGGTTGTCGTCTCGGCGTACTCAGTGATGAGGTGTTCCGCTGTTTCCCCATTCTTCCCACAGAATCTGCATTCGCCGTTGTTTCTTAGCTTCAATCTACTGAGATGCTTATTGAGTAGACAGTGTCCTGTTAAAAACCCCGTGACAATCCGTAGATTGTCTTACTTAAATCCAGGAAGATCTTTGATTTTTCTTGGTCGTAAGCCCTCAGAATTAAGAAAAAACCTGATAATATCGTTCATTTAGAGAAATCGCCTCACATTTTTCTTTAATATCGAATCGTTAGTCCCACCCTCATGAAGATGTAAACAAAACGTTGCAGGGTGGGACCGCGTTCACCATCGCTCACATAGCCTACTCTCCAAATATGGTCGCGATCGGACGGCATCAACTTTTGACGTTTCTTACGTCTAAACTAACTGTCACAGGGACACGTGTCGTGAACCAATAACTAAAGAATCCAAGGACAAATAACACCTGAGAGCAAATTGTGACGATATCACCAAACAGTGCCGTAGCACATATTTTTCTTAACCTAGCTGTTTGAAGCAATATTTATATTTTTTGATAATTGTTTTGACTACGCCTATGGTGTATCATCCTAATTAATTACGAAAAAAACGTATTAAAATGTTAACAAAAGGTACAAAACTAGTATCGACGTATAGCACATATCAAGTACATATAGATGTTAGTTGAAATTGAAGAATAATTATCGAATTCAATAAGAAAACGCTAAAAAGTTGGAGTGGACTGTTTATTTGCCTATGAAACGTAACTCCTGGCTCTTTCTTATCGCTGCTGCTTTTACACTTGAAAGCTGAACAACTAATCACCATTGTAATAAAGTTTATACAAAGTTTACTACACACAAACTATTAAAAATCGCTAAAATTGTCGCTGGTCACCAAATGATGACTCATTGTTTGCCACCAAAAGAAAGGTCTCTAAGGTCACAAATTCTGCTGCAGCTCGTATAGGGGCGTTACATGTCCTTATATTCTTTAGGCATTGTCGTGAACGGTCAAGTTGGCCTTGGTCCAATCTATCGACATACCAAATTCCATTTAAATCAGACAATTTTTTCATTTGATTCATTGATGATTGGGTTTCGCAGCGCAAAATAAGTTTCCTTTTTAATTAATAAGAAAACCATATAATAATAATAGCTAGTAAGGTACAGCTTGCCATGCTAGAGCCGTTCGGTATACAAAGAAGGTAATGTGGCTAGCACTACGCTTCGACCGCCTATTATTACCTCAGGATTGTGAATCCCAAGTAGTCATTTAAGGCTGAGTCGACCTAGGTACGCAAACTATTTTTATTTTAATAAAAATAGTCGGCTGATGAAATGCCGGGTGTAGGAATCGAACCCACACTTTGAGATTGGTAGACGAGAGCCTGTACCTCTACGCCACCGAGCACCTTAAGAAGACACCCAATAAGAAAACCATACCTACTCAATTTCTCCAGTAAACGATCTGCTTTTCTCTGGATCAGAAAAAAGCAGCTCATCCACTGGATAAACAGACAAAGGCACAGGCATAGCAATGTTTTCATGCAAGGACCTACTTCTAAAACTACAAAGGAACTTTCTTTGTGGTTTTAGAATTAGGTTTAGAACTTTTGAAACCTGAGCAAGCTTACCTTGTTTCAAGGAAGTCATTGCTGCAGATTCTGCGATAAAGATTCTGAATCAGTAGTGCACATAATATAGTACTGTGAGGCTCTGGATCGCAAGCGACGGTTTGTATTTGGAAAACAAAGGTTAGAACTGGAGGAATTATGCTCCTATCCTATCAAGGACCTTCACAAGCTGGTGCAGGAATAACAGGAATAACAGATTGGGTACAGATATAGAAAAGGAACAAACAAAATAGACCTGAGCGAACCTGAGATGGGATCGTGATATTAGGAAATTAGGGATAATTTGGACCCGCCAACATAGACAACAATGGGCCCAACTACAAAGAGAGTACCTAAATATGTGAGAGTGGACCCATAATTGGAAATGGTTGAATAAGCTGAAAATGATGATGATGATGATGACATTTTCCTTAAAATAATGGACGTATGTAACTCCTGTTATTCTTAAAACGATGAAACATGCAGAAATTAAATTTCTAGTAATCATAGTAATTATTTGTTTACTTGAGTTAATGTAAGCTAAGTTATAGATTACAAATGCACCATAATGATAAAAAAGCTATAAAATGGAGGTTGAATATTCTATGTACACACAGTGAAAAAATGCGATGGTACCGATTAAAGTTAGTACTTTTCCTGTTACTAACCTGACCACGATATGATAAAATAAAGTTGTAAAATTGTCGTAAAGGGTTCGAGAAGGAATTTCTAACATTTATATGTAGAGATATCCGGCTCATTTACTCAGAGCTGTAAAAAATATAGAGGCTTCATATCAAATAAACTTTTAGTCACGTGATTAAGCTTCACCGGCACAGCGTTGCCTATTTTTACATATTTTCTTTTAATCAAAATATTTTAGGAAACGAAAATTAATTAATTATGAATTTATAAACAGCTATTGTTTACATCAGCAAAACTCACCTTCTTAACAGTACTCTAGGGACATACAAAATATTCTAATAAAGTTGCGATGATTTTTTTTCGGTTATTAAGTCTATACAAGATAGACGCTTTGCCTCAAGTTTGTCTTGTCTGAATTTCTCATTTTTGTCGCAGGTTTGTCTTGTTTTTGTCTCAAAATCGTGTTCACTTTCTGTCGCCTTGGTCTGGACCCAGCATTACATACTAATTTTTCAACGACAAGATGTTTGACAAAATAGTTATTTTTTATACAACACCGATAAAATGGTATTTTATACGATACAATATTTTTTTCTATAGCGAGTTACGTTTTAAAAAATATTCAGAAATTATTATTTATATATATATTTGGGATTAATCTTATAAAAATACAGTTACTGTACTATACAGATTATACAACTAAATGTTGCCTTCACAGTCTCAATCGCCAGCCATCTCTGTCGTACACGAGCTCTTCTTCGATATTCCGATCTCTCATCGCCTGTCGTATACCATCGTTCCAGGGCCGACGCGGGCGTCCCCTTTTATTTCTTCCAGTGGGTGACTATTTGAATACACGTTTTGGCCATCTTGTGTCCTCCATCCTCATTAGATGACCAAACCATCTCAAACCTCTTTTCTTTATTCGTTGAATTACTGTTTCTTGTGCCGATGTTCTGTTTTTGATTTCCTCGTTTCTCACTCTTTGTAATCTGGACACTCTAGCGCTTCTACGTAAGTAATCCATCTCTACAGCCATTATTCTCCGTTTATCTTCTTCTCTTAGGGCCCATATCATACTCCCATAGCATAAGACAGATTCTACCATTGTTTGGCCAATATGTTTTTTATGCTTTATATTAATATGTTTGTCCCACCAGATTGAGTTAAGTGGAGAGTGGTAGACTCTCCTCGCGTTCTGAATTCTCTGTTTTATCTCTATCCCACCGATTCCATTTTTATCAACTATAGCTCCTACATATTTGAATGTGTCTACCTGTTGTATTTCTGCCTTGTCGTCAATTAGAATATCAAATTTGGCGTCGGAATTTAATACCAAATATTCTGTTTTTTCTAAACTGACTTCTAGACCCCATTCCCGATACTGAGTATATAGTCTCCTGAGCATAAACTCCATGTCAAAGGAATCTTGAGCAAATACTGCTTGATCATCTGCAAAATTAAGTATCAGAAAATGTTCCTCATTAATTGGAATACCCATTCCTTGACATGATCTCTTCCACCTCCTAAGAGCTATCTCCAGGTAAATATTAAAGAAAAGAGGAGAAACAAGAAATTATTATTTCAAGGAATTTATTACGAGTAGAAAAAATATTATGTTGGGTTGGCGTTGGTTTCTATGTAATTTGACAAATAAATAAAGTTGTCCCTTTAATTGTCAGTTTTGAGTCAATCTTTTTTAATTCTTTTTCGTGTCGATTGCTGATTGAATTGGAGCCAGAAATGGCTCAAAACGAAATAAGTATATTACCAACAGATATTCAGGCTGAGGCGACAAACGCCATATCCAAACTACTTCCATTTAAATCCCGAATAACTTATGAAAAGGAATACAAAAATTTTCAAAAATGGAAACAATTAGAAAACGTGCGAGAAGAAATAAAGTTTGTTGAGAAGAAATAAAGAACCTGTTTTTTGACAAATCACCATGCCAACGGCTAAATTTTAGTGAAATTTTTTTCCTCGTGGGCACCCAACAGCGAATTATACTGGAAATTTTTTGACATTTATAATGACAGAATATCTTTTCGAAAGTCTGGTTTTTATTTGTTTACATGATAATTTTGATACATTTCAATTACAAAGCTGAAATGAAAGTTTGTAAACTGCTTCCATACGCTTGACTTTGATTTCCTAGTATTCGCGGGTGTCAACTGCTTAATCTCCTGGCGAATATTTTCTTTGCTTTCATGACCGAAGCGAAACATTTTTTAAGCCGTGCCGCTTGACAGCTTCAAAACTGAAATAGTTTTTAGGTTTGGGTGTTACTTAGTTGTCTTAGTAACTAAATAATCAATTCGACCAAAAATCGAAAAATACATTTTAATTATTTGATTTTCAAACACAATTTGGTGTGGAATTTTCTTACCGAATACCACACGAGGTCAAATTAAATCCGGACATTTTTTCTCGCTCATGAATATTTTTAGAAAATTATCCCTCGTCTTCGACTCCGATAATTTTCAAAAGGAATACAAAAATTTTCGGAAAATAATTGACTTCTAGTGATAAACGTAGCGGGAAGAAATTTAATTTAAATCTATTACCGTATTTAAATATTACCACTACTCCTCCCACACTGACTCTCTGGATGCGCCACTGATTTTATCTACTATTTTTGATAGATATAAGGCAATTTTAATAGTTGCTACGGAAAAAAGAATTATTTTTGGTATCATTTTTGAGGTGAGTAAATGTTGTAAACCAGTTAAGCTGTTGGTTTTTGTAATGCAACTTGACGTGTATATATCGGAACGTCACAATTTCGCACGGATAATTTCCTAATCAAGTTGCAAAAACAACAACGGCAACGACATCTCCTCGTCATGCGGAATAAGAAGTTTTGCTCGGCACTAAAACGGCTCGAGACCTCATTAGATCGGAAAATATTATGCAAATTCCACTCTAATATGCAGTAAAATGCGAGATTTATGTTAAACCATGCGAGATCGGAGCGAAAAAAGCCATATTCAAATGACGCCAGTTTTACGTACTGCTGCTTCCTTCAAGTGTATTTATCTCTTAAGCCAGTTCTAGAATGTGCGGTGTGTTGGGAAAACTGGTTCTATTGGGAAAAATCAGCATAATACTTTGTAAAATGGTTTATTTACAACCACATATACAATACTGACAATACTGACTTTTAAAAAATTTGAATCTGTCAAATTATCTACATTTCTTCTCTCATCCATTTTCCTCACCTATTTCCCTCACTCGGTTTTCCTTATTTCTCGCCTCATTTAATTAAGCAAAATATTCTTGTAATATCTTTATTAAATACTTATCTAACATCAACAAAGATAAACAAGAAAATTAATAATAATAATTGAAGATTTTAATACATTTATTTGTTAAAATTAATGGTCAAATTTGACTTATTGTTAAGGGGCCGCCCTAATAATGTGTTTCACTCATTGAGGTTGCACTGCTGCAAAAACTTAACTCCTGTCTTGTGCCAGGTCATCTAATGTCAACGAAAGAAGGTAAAGAGTTTGAATTGCTACAGGAAGACGATGGCAACGATGTCGCTGAAGATATCATATTTCCGTTTTTAGTTTGGTTGGCTACAAATGCATCCACATACACCTCAGCCACAGCACTGTTCGTCGTTTAGATCTACCAGCAACGTAGCTGCTGTTCGTCTAAAAGCGTGACCTGTGTAGGTTTTCGCATTGGGAAGTTTCAAAAAGCTAGCAATTTTGTACAGAAATTTAGATATAGAATTGTATCCAAAGGGTTGATTTCGAGCTTTTCCTAATCGATATTGAACAAAAAATATCTCATTTTCAATATCTTTTCTTTATCTTTTTTTAACCTACTATAAGCGCAACCTAAAACAATGAAAAAAAAGTTAAAAAAGTAGTTCAAGTTCCTTGACGGTTCTACTCTATACGACCGAGCGAGTACCCGAATGATTAATCTGAAAAACATACAGAATCAACGAGGGCAGCCTCCAGCCGTGCCAGTTGACAAAGATCAAAGGCACCACCCGGATTCTTCTTTTTTCTTATCTCTCTCTCTCTCTCTCTCTCTTCTTCGTCTTCCCCCCGTCTTCTCCTTCTTCTTCTTCCTCTTCTTAACGCACGAAGCGCCGATTAGTTCCGGTCGGGCGAGCACTCTTCACCGTCACCATGACAACCGGGCGCGGAGAGTTTCTTCTGTTCGTCGCCGCCGCGGTCGTCTTCGCGATTTGCTTTATATAGTTCTCGGTTCGGTGGTACCGAAGATCGGAAAGAATCTCTTCAAGTAAATACGAACATTTTCTCGATATTCTTCGTTGGATATCGACTTATTTGGCTGTCCAAACTTCTAGGATATTGAAAGATGCGTATAACTTATCTTAAGGTGCGTCCAGACCTGACGATACGAGCGCGATACATTCCAGCTAAGTGTGAACGGGTCTCGCACGGTGCCTCGTTGCTATCCGTCCTCTGCCGGTTTTACGACGGCCGATCAAAGAAAGCTCGCAGCACAGACTGGACGTGTTTTTGGCAGGGTTGCCACAAGCTACCCAATTGTGTACTTTGCTACACATTTGTTTCAATGATTACACAGCTACCAATCGTCTGAACTACATATTTTCAGAATTTACATATTTTGTAAAAAAATAATACCAGAACAGTAAATCAGCTGACAAAAGTTGTTTTTTTTTGCTTTTAAGTTATTTAAGTTAGACATCAAAAAAGGCCGCAAGTGTAGTTTCAATTTTGAACTGACAAATATCATGTTTCGTCATCAGTGTTCAGGTGTTCAGTAAAATGTCAGAGTATGAACTGGGTCATGAGTCAAGGACCAATAGACATGAGCCAAAAACGGTAAATATACAGGATTGCTTAATCCCTTAAATAATACATAATAGTACTTTGCCCAAAATTCACTGCTCAATTACGTCACTGTAATTCAAAGTCACGCTTTACCTCGCTTGCATATGTTAATATTACTCAATTCCTATTTCACTTCCTCCCATGTCAGCAAGGACTGCAGTTTCTATGAACAAATTTTGCCGATTAAACAGTCCTGAATAGTTTACAGTTTTTTAACAGAATAAACCGATCTAATTTGTCCATAAAATCGGTAGTTTCGCGACATCAATTTTGACGTCACTGCATTTCTTGCTTGCATTAGAAGAAATGAAATGGGAAATTGACGTATACAAACGAGTGGAAGTGAGACCCGTAATCATGCTTTAAAATTTGGCGAACGTACGTCTTATTGGATAGTTTACAGTTATTGGTCATGGACGGCTACGCAATGCTACACATTTTTATGGTCAAGTTCTGCACATTCAAAAATTTTCTTATGGCAACCCTGGTTTATGGTAGGCTCGCTCGACTGCGAGATCTTAGCTCTGATTGATGAATTTCGACTATTTAAAATTAAATAATCTCAATTTTTTAAATGGTACACCAAATGCATTTTTTCTGATAGAATTTGCAAATTTTACGTCATTGATAATTTTTACCGTACCGAAATCTAACATTTCTTTAAAGAAATTATTACAAAATCTCTTAGTTTTCGATATATACTATCATATGCAAAAAAAAAGTTACCGAATTGTACGTAGAATCTAATAATAAAATAAAAAATACGGTATTCCCACTAAAAAAATATATGTTAAGGACGGTCCACACTTGCTATATAACACTGCTATATAGCAAAGTTATATAACATGTTACATATTTTTTAGTTATATTTAGCAAATTTCGATGCTATATAACTTGCTAGATGTTATCCATTTGTAGTCGGTAAAGATCAAAAGATGTTGTGCAACATTGCTATTGTAACATGAAACAACGCGTCCACACTTGCTAAATTTCTAGTTTAGCCGCTCATATTTTCAGGGACGTGCGCGACAGAATCTTATGGTGAGCTGATATTGGTTTGTTTATTTACTAATCAATAATACCGTATGATCGAAAAAAAAAACTGCGTCCCGTCGGCCTCCCGTCCAGTTGGCTTGGACATGACGATCGATGACATTCCCCATATAATTTTCCATATAAAATGACAGCGATTTTCATTTCATAGTATGTATTTGGAAACAGAAAAAGTTGAGAAAAAAATGCGTAACCTAATAGGCCAGTTCCAGCGGGAACAAAAGAAATGCAAATCAGGTACTGCATGGTTTAGATGAAGTGGATAATTCAAAATGGTTTGCTTTTGCTTTTAAGTTATTAATGTTTTTAAAAAACAGAAACACGAGAAACAGCCGAGGCAAGTAGTGAAAAGATAAGCTAATTGAGTTCAACTGTATCTAGATCTTGCTGGTAGGCTATGGCGGACTCAAAACCGCTTTTTTTTCTCGACTTTCTTTCCCTTAGTTCAAAAATAATTACGCACGCCGCTGCTGCGAGCTGAACCTCTTTCTCGCCAAAACGATTCATGACTACGAAAACTATAATGTGGACGGCTCCCGGTTTTTTAACATGTTACATGTAGCTTGTTAAATAGCAATGTTATATAACATGTTACTAAATGTGG